ACACTTACCAACTAAGATCACCAAGGTGGAAAATAATGCTGTCATTTTAGTAATGGATGCTTTGCACTAGTGTTCTTTCAGTATACTTCTTTGAGAAAGTTTTTTTTTTTTGTTTATGTATCTATGTATGTCAAAGAAATTGCATTAAAAAAATTTAAAATATGAAATAGTAAATAAAAAAAATAAATAATGAAGAAAAAAACCCTAAATTGCTGAATCTGAGATATCCTATTTACATCAGAAATGGTTTGCAGACATCAATCCACATCTGAACAAAATCAAATGCAGAAAACAAACAGATTCCTCAAATACAAAAAAAGTATACATATTAAAAAAAGAGGAGTTGAGAATAAGAATTCTTCACCAGGAGTCCGTTTTTTACTTTATTGCAATTTTTTTTTCTTTTGAAACTGTTTACAATCTCCAGAAACATATCAAACACAACCAACAGCCCAAGCTTCAATATTCAGCTGGTCTAAGTCTGGACTTCTACTCAGAGACACATATTTAATACATAACAGTAGCATGAAAGCATTTGCTTAGCCTCCAAATTACCATAATGAACTTCCCTAATCTCCCCCAACAAAATCTTTATTTGAATTGAAGAAATATCTTCTACAATTATTAGTAGTAAATTTGTTATTAGTTTTTTGTTGAATTCAAGATTTAATGAAAATATTTTCACATCACTGTCATACAATTCTAAATTGTGTTGTGTGTAATTTATGTAACCAAATGTATCCGCTTTAGTTTATGTCTGGCTGCTGTTATCTGCCAATCTATGGGTCATGATCCATTTACAAAAAATTAATTTTTAATTTTTGCTTCTTCGCTTAGTTTAAATTTTAATGGAAGTCATATTTGATTAATTGCTCAGAGTAAAGCCCAAAATCCTTATAACCCCATTTTTTCTTTTTTTTAATAAAAAGTTGAATTTTGCCTTTAAATCTAAATACATTATTCACTCACCAGTAACTTACAATTGCCTGATGAGATGCATTGATACATATTGAAACAATTGCAATTGTGTAGTGATTTTTTTTTACATGTTTTCAGTATAATATCCTAAAATAATATTGCTCTACTCTGTATTGAGCCCTCTTTTAAATGAAAACGTTAGAATTGTACTCTATTTGTTCTCATCATACCTGTGTGTGTGTGTGTGTGTGTGTGTATATATATATATATATATATATATATATATATATATATATACACACACACACACACAAACAAACATATATTAGGAAAAACTATGATAAATTGTAAGAAGTTTTTGTGTGACATGTTTCATCCTTTTGGACTTCATCAGACTAAAGTAAGTACACTGAATATGTGTCCTAAAATGACTTAAAGCAAAAATTGAAAATTAATCAAAATCATGAGAAAGTCTAAAATTTTTGTAATTATGATAGAAGATGAGAACAACAAGAATATTTTCATTAATTGTCATTAGACATCTTAGAAAATAAGACAAATACATGAAACCTATTTTAAGAAAAATACCCAAATAAAAATTTTAGAAAACATATTAAAATAAACTCTACTCAACATAAAAAATTTTTTTTTTTGCTTCCAGCTGTTCAAGACACATAAAAAGTCTGGTGTTACTCTTTTTAGATCTGAGGGTAAAAAGATTCAAGAATTTACAGAAACTGCCTATCTATAAACAAAAAATCTCAAAAACATTTAGGCCACTTTTCATATATTGTTACATAGAGACAAAATAGTTCATTTTAAAGCTCCATTTGTTTTACTCTGCTCAGCTTGGACATTTCATTGGTCAAACAATTTTAGTGTAGTAAAAAAATAATCCTTCACCAAATTTTTTTAAAAACTTTTTTAAAAGATAAAATAATATCTGTCTGTATTTCTGAGATGAGGTATTATGTATACTATTTACATCATTCGAACTATTGTCCTCATCTTTATCGCCATATTCATTACGTCATACGCTCTGGCCTCCTTCATGTGGTTGGAATGTTGAACTTATCCCTTTATTTTACTCACCTCACTTCAAATACAATATAATGAGTCTAAGTATTATTCTAACATGAAAGGATATAATGTTATTCAAGCTACTACCCTCATCCTGGTTTTTATCTCAACATTTCAACCAAGGTGTTCTTTGACCTTCATCAGATATATGGTTCATTCAGTTTGATTTTTCTCTATTCTATAAATGAATTTAGATCTAAACTATAAAAAACTGTGCAGAGGCAATCTAGTAGCCAGTCTGAAAAACATTCAATTACATTTACTGAACAAAACAAAACATACAAGCTACTTACCTAAATACATGTGCCAAAAACACTGACAATGTCCTTTTTAGCGATAAAAGGCTCTAATAAAAGCATTAAGCTGGAGACTAATAATAAAGTTCAATTTTATGTATGTGAGACATGTTAAACATAAGTCCTAAATAAGATACTTTAAAAATGATAAATTTGATTCTCAGTAAAAAAAAGAAAAATCTAACATAAATAATGACCAACAAGAATGTCAGATATATGCAAGTCTGATGGAGATAAACATAATTAAATTATAAGATACCCAAGACAGACTTCAGGATGAACATTCTTTGGAAAACTCATAAGTATTTTAACAGTCCATCAACTGAGAAACCTATTCTTATCTGATCAGCAATAATCAAATTTGTTATTTCATTGTCAATATTTTTGTCTTGAAGCTCTTACTAAGTCTATATTTCTTTTCATGAAAACAAGTCTCGGTTCTGGCTTGTAAACCATTTTGAAATTACTTGAAAAGTTGTGGGGGAGTGAATTATTGATTTCTGGCTTGCTTTCTATATTGACATGTACAAAGTTAAAAATTCTGTACCAGACAGAGATAACTTTTGCTTCAGAAGGATGACACACAAAAATATATTGTTTAACATTTACTACATTTATGTGGGAAGAGTGCTCCATATCAGAGAGAAAGCATTTATAAATATAGACAGCATGGACATAGGAATCAACATTGCATGACAACTGTCAGTTTCATGCCTCAAGCAATCTTCAGATTATGCAGTGTTGATTATATTCACACTTTTTATATTTTATGTGCTTAAATTTTTTGTTTGTATGAACCTCTGAAATGCTGAATTAGAAGTGAATTATTTTTTTTCCTTGACAAGTAGGGAATTCAGAAGTGTGTGTGAAAATAAGTGAGATATTAAAAAAAATATTTAGTGCTGTGAATCGTGATTACCAAAGATGAATGTATTTGCCTGCATATGTTACACTTCTTTTATAAGGCATTTTTGTAGGTACAAAAATGAATAAAAAAAAAAACAAAATCAATAATAAAAAAAACAAAAAAAAGAGTAGATTTTCTCACATACTTATTTTAATACTATATTAGGTGGTTGGTCTCCCATCCATAATACCAATGTACCATAATATTTGAATGTTTATTTATGGTTTTTCCACATGCATTTTATCAGCAAATAAATATGAAAAATTAGAAAGCTAAACCCCGTTTACCATTAATCCACTGATATAAGTAATTGTAAAATTCCTTTGATCGGTTATAGTTCAACGCAGTTTTTCTCATAAAAACTCAAGACTGCTATTGTGCCAAAGGTGACGTTGCACTAAAGTTTCACACCTGACCCTTATCAGAGGGTTGACATGGGGGCTGTCCCAGCTACGAAATGCAGAAGCATGTGACCTCACACCTGCATCCAGTATTGCAAACATGAGAACAATAATGGATATTGTGGTAATAAAATAAGCACATCCCATCTCCCATCACTTGCAACCATCCACTATAATAAAATAAACGTTTTTCAGCACTAAAACTGAATTAGTCAAATAAAGCTTCATAAGCTTCTACTTAGTGCTGTTGCTATTACAGATATATATATAAACACCTACACACATGATAGGGTTGAGCAGTCTCTCACACATTGCAGACAGAATGTAGGGTTCACGTATTGGACCAAGGAACAACAATGAAGGTCACAAGTCATAAAGATTCAAGTCTCTTCTTGTCATGTAATCAGCACTCTCTGCATTACAACTTCATTAACATTAAAACTGAATGCCTTGTTACTTTATATAAACACATTGTCCCATAATATTAATAAATAATCAGTGGTTATCACGTGTGCATATCAGAATTAAAATTATGGATACACCTTTGATATCAGAGATTTTAGAAGATTGGCCACAAAAGAAAATATTTTGATCCATATACTCTGAGGGGATGAAGTCATGGCAATTTAATTTAACAACCAAACAATGAAAATGGAACCAGAGACAAGATCTCCGATATAACAGAAACTTATTCTACAAGGTTCAATGTTATGAACAGGACAACCTGTCCTGGGTATGATGATAAACTACATCTGGCAGCAAGACCTCTGATCAAGAGGTTTTAAGAAACATGGAACCACCTCTTATTTGCTGTTGTTCACAGATTCACCCTGACTCGGGGTGGTAGCATTTGTTAGGTCCTCCAAACTGGGGTCAAGACACATTTTTATAGTAAAAATACCAGCAACACATTTTCGTAGTAAAAAAAATTACCAGCAATACATTTTTGTAAATGAAATTATTAATGCTCCCAAGAAAATTCAATTTTGGTATTAAATAACCCATCAGTCAATTATGTGTCATGCATGATACATGCTTAGACGATCATGTATCTTTCGATAAATGAGGCAGATTTTTTTCACCGCAGCAGGATGCCATTTCTTTCTGTGGTAGACCGGTTGCCATCCAACGCTATAAAACCTGGTCTGTTCTGCTAGTTACCCATAGCTGGGAGGAGGAGAAGAGGATTCATACCTTTCCCAAGGGTATTAGCACGTAAGTGAATGTAATGGATTCAAATGGAATTCGAACTCAGCTCTACAATTCTTCAATCTGAGCCACTATCCATTACTCAACCGTAAGGATTTGATATGCCACGAATTAAACAGTCTGGACAAAGAATAGAACTAGTGGACTGCCATAAAATGTATATCATAGGTAAAAAGATAAATAAATTACCTTGGTTTGGTAATGATAAAATCCGCTGTACACCTTGGCAGAAATCATTGAAATTGATCTTTCCTTTCCCATCAGGATCTAAGAACTGTATGATTCCACACAATTCCTGAAAAAAAGAAAAATTTACAGAGTTATTTCAATCTTCAAAGTTGTTAAAATCAATGAGACAACCTATAATTTCATAAACCACAGTAATAATCTTTTTCTGACCCAGAATATAGCAGATATACCTCCCATGTAGATGAAGATGAAGAGACCATTGCCACTAATGTCTTACCATTATGTGGGAGGTATTTCTGCCACACACTGTATAAGAAAAGTTATATTTTTAAAAATTCCCAGTATAATTAAACACATTTACTTATGACATCAAAAAAGACTATATGAAATTGATTTTTTTTGTTAAGCCCTTACTATTATTAGGATATTTTTTATATGCATCATTATATATATTTTTTCCAGTTATTATTACTGTTTTCCTCAGCTCTTTCTCTTTGCCTCAAACATCTGCCATATTGTGTTGACATGTCAAGGGAGATAAATCTAGTACAACAAAAAATTAGATTACAGGAAGGAAAAAAAAAAAAAAAAAAAGCAGTGTATTTTATATAATCCTATTCTGTGAATAACACTTCCATTTAGTCCTGCTCAATGGCAATCCGTTCTTCTTGATTTTCAGTGTGCAACATACAGGCATATGAAATGACAATCTCAAAAATAAAGAAGTGACTTGAAGCAACAGAAATGTGGTTCTACAGAAAGATGCTGAGGATACTATGGACCAAACATCAGCAATGACAAAGTTTTAGAGAAAATGGAAAGAAAAAGGAAACTTATACTTAACACCAGTAAGAGACAGTTAAGATTTTTGGGGATACATAATTAGGAAGGTGGGCAAAAAGGACAGAGGAAAACAATGCATAACACAGTTAATGAGCTTGAGTAAATGGATGGCAGAACAAGGTTTAAGAGGGATAACAGAAAGACACAGTTTATTAAGAGCTACAAGGGACAGGAAGTTGTGGAGAGCCATAATCACCTAGATCCTGAGGGGGGGACATGGCACATAAAGAAGAAAGCTTGTCTTTTCTACACAAGCTTTTTAGGTAGGTTACTCCCTGTTTATTCCTGTCCCTCCAGCCTTTAATATGTCCTGTGACAAAACCTTTTTCTCCAAGACTTCTTTCCTCATTATGTGTTGTAGAAATTTCAACTGCTTCTTTCTAATCCTAACTGCCATACATTTTTCCATTTTCTTTAAAGCAGTCAGGGAAAACCTACAACCATTGTATTTTGTGTTTTTCTTCTCAATCCCAGAAATTTGATATGTCACTATATGTGTAATCAGGATTGTTAGATTTAATAAATTACAGCTGTGATGATGTCAGAGGTCACATTAACTATTTTTCTACAAAGATGGATGTTGGCATGTTCTTCAAGTTCCATCTTGGTTTCTATCTGAAACCATTCCAACCAAGACTCTTTAAACAGAAAGAATTTTATACTGGAATGCAAAATGAAATTTTTTTTTTAAATTATTAAACTTTCAGTGTTATCTGAAAAATTTTGAGATTCAATATTTTTTCTTTTTCAAATTATCTTATAATTCTACTTGTCTTTCCCTTAAGCACAACCATTACGCCCTGCCAATACCTCATAAATAATGGACTATTTCCTTTTGATCACGAGGAAAGACAGAAAAGACATATCAGAGATGCTACTTGGTTTCAGTGAGAGAAAGAAACACCTTGCGAATACCTCATAAATAATGGACTGTAAAGTTCTTGAGGAAAGACATAAAAGAAGACATATCAGAATGCTACTTAGTTTCAATGCGAAAAAGAAATAAAGAAAGAAAACAAAATTCAAACGGGAAAGGCGCAAAATTTTTATGGGTACTACAAGTAAAAGTGAAATCTGCAAAGATTAATCAGTAATCATTGTACAAAAAGTATTGGGTAAAAAAAAAAAAAAATTCACATACTAATTATAGCTCAGGTGATCCAATAGCCAAGGTCAAGATTATAAACCCTATTATGTCCAGAAGTTCACTTTTCAAAATATCTTGCGTATGTAAAAGAAAAATGAACCATTTCACAAATACATTGACAGCTAAAAAGATAGAATCTTAACTTATATATCTCTTTAAACTGTCAAAAAAAAAAAAAAAAAAAAAAAAACTTTCAAGACAAAAATATTTTGATTAAATTAGCATATATACAAATTGTGTTAATCAGCAAATTTAATTACAATCTGTAGACAGATTTGTGCAGACAATGACTTATAAACAAATATTATATATAGCACCTGAAAGAATTTAGAGATTTCTCAGTTGGTTTGTTAGTATATAATAATTTAATATCTCTTGTTAGCCATGACTTATTTTAAAGATGTGAAGGACTGATTGTTCCATAAATCAGGCATTATGATTTTAGATACAGCTTTTGCTGGTTACAATTAATAGAATATCAAAGATATCTAGGCTCTATAACTTAGCAAAATAAACACAAACCCAACATTGGCAGCATTAATTACAAATTAGCAAAAGCTCTAAAATGTTAATACCTCATATAGGAACAGTCAGTTTAGCAATCTCATGAAGAAACTAAAAAATATGACGACGAAAAATGTCACGACTAGCTTAGATATGAAATGTCTCTATGCTAACATAAGTCAAGAAATATGTGTGCGTGTCATGTACGCTCGGAAGTTACAAGTGGACTCTAGGTGTAGATTGTAGACAAGTGGTTGTTGACTTCAGTCACCTGTAAATAATACGACAGGAAAGAAGATTAACATGAAACTAATGGTATGGAAGCAAAAATTACCCCAATTTGGTGGATATGACTAGTTTTGACAACTACCATTTTTGTTTTGCTTGTGACAAAATTAAAATAAACAGCTGAGCAGAAATACTTTATAAAATAAAATAAAAAAAACATAAGGAATAATTTTTCACATTACTCAAGATTTAAAATGTTAAAAGAAAATAAATACCTAGAATAAAATAAAACATCTTCCACAGTTTGTATTTTTCCTTTCTTTTTTTTCTTCTTAAGTGGCAAAGAGAAAGAAAACTAATTTTAGAAAAGGAACTCAAAGAATTATTATCATGAAAATGTTGTAGGGCATTTTTCCAATGAGATCATACATTATTGGTTGGCTGCTAAAAAGAACCATGGGTAATGTTAGCTTAATTGTTCAAGAGATTGAAGTCAAGGTATTCATTATCTACAAACTTAACAGATAATTTGTACCTTCTATCACATAGTTTTGCAATTGACTAAACTTAGAATATTACAAATGCTGGAACATAGATACCATACCATTCTTTCAATGTGTTTACCTAATCAGACATCAGTATGTGTATGTGTGTGAGCATACTTGTGTGTGTGTGTGTATATATTTCTTAAAAATTAAATTTTTATTAATTATAATGCTATTTTAGTGGATACCAATATTTGAGTAGACGCTCTGTTTTTTTAAGATTGTGCTTACTTTGTCTACTAGTCTGAACACTCAAGAAAATGTTCACCAGCAGGATTCAAACATGCATAATCCTGATATTTTGTTTATTAGGTTTTCTCAAGAGCGCAGACTGGTAGATGAAATAACACACTTAGAGAATCTACACAAAATATGGATATTCACTAAAAACATAACATTTGAAGTAATAATTATATATATATATATATATATATATATATATATATATATATATATATATATATATAATATATATATATATATAATTATGTTGGTATTGGTCACAAACTCACTTTCACGAAGCTTGACTCTACATTTCAATGATAACTCTAACATTTTTTAGACATTTAAAAAACACACCCGGCCACATACACAATTCCGGAAAATACAACTATACTTATACATGAAAACAATAAACAAAAACTAAAAATTCTTAAAGCTTTATACATAAAACAGTTGAAACCTAACCTGAACAAAATAAACTATGAAAACTCCACAAATATACTCAAATGCCTATAAGTGATAACAGAAGCCATTGGTTTATTATACCAATGGCTTCCCATACTTAACACTTCTCGTTTTCACTCTCGCGTGATCATGTGTGATGTCATCAGCCGCGGAGGGATTTTTGCTTCCAGCGTTTCGTATGCACGAGTTTGTTGTTGCTTGGAAATCTTCCATGCAAACAAAAACAGACTATCATTATTGCCATGTCCGTGTATTGTTTAACATATTGTAATGCTATTGTCATCTTTGATGATGGCTTATGTAAGGCGAAAGCTTAGATAGGATTAAAAAACATTTTACAATATGGTGATTTTCTTTCGTCTTTCAATGATAATGTTATTAAGCTTATCAGACGATATGAAAGGAATTTACATAAAATAAATAGACAAAACTTGTCTATATTATTTAACGAAACATGCATCAATGAAAAAATGCTGCCTAAATACACACTATATATGTAGACACCATTTTTTTGTAATCATTTCATCACCCAGCAAGGTAATAAAGCCACTAAGACACAAGGAGTTACCGAGTGTGAATTAGGAAATTGTGGAGAGCCATGATAACCCATGTGCTGAAGGGACACAGTGCATACATAGAAGAACAACAACAGGAAAATTTCATTAGAAACAACAAAAAGTGTGCTGAACTACTATGTAATACCAGTCCTCCCATATAAACAGTGAATGCAGGACAATTTCCACACAGATAAAGGAGGAAGCAATGGAGACATAGTCCTACAGAAGGATGCTGTGAATACCATGGATGGAGCATGTGAGTAACAAGGATGCTTCAAGGAAAATGGAAGCATAAAAGACACATACATAGAATGAAAAAGAGAGTTGAAATTTCTAGGATACATAATGAGGAAAGAATGCTGGGGAAATGATACTCACAGGGCACTGAATGTAAAACGGACAAGAAAAAACAGTGAGTAACCTACCTAAAAGTTAAAAATTGCTAATAGCTATAAAGGATAGGAAGTTGTGGAGGCCCATGATCGCCAACATCCTGATGAGATACAGTACATATACAGTGTAAACTTTTAAAATCTAAATACCAAACCTATATACTTTACTAATGGCAGCTCATTTAATAAAAACGTTGCAAGAT